TCGTAGATTTTACTCAGTGGGCCGCTGTTGATCTGTGTCTGTGTGTGTGTGTGTATGTATGTATGCCCAATATACTTGTCATTAGTAAAGCATTTATTAATAACTGGTAAATAAAACAGATCATTGAGTCTGTGTCCATTCGTTTTTTTTTTATGTTTTTATTATTATTCTTTGACTGTAGTTTCGTAGATTTTACTCAGTGGGCCGCTGTTGATCTGCGTTTTGCTATTTCAGATTTAATATAGGCAGAAAATGCATCCCTTGTTGTCTCACAGTAGCGATGGGCTCCTAAGTACAACACACATGACCGTGGATAAAACAAAAGTGGAGGAATATAGGGCTCGATCTTTCTTTTTATCACCAGTGGATTATACATCATTTTTTATTTGTTATTTTTACTCATATCGCCAAACGAGGCAGCAGGATTTTTTTCCGACGGATGTTCCCTTTCTGTAACAATGAAACGGCGAGTACTGTGCTTTTTCTCCCTCCTTGCTTTCCAATCGGTGCTCGGACAAGTCAGCTACTCCATTCCAGAGGAAATGGCCCGAGGTTCGCTGGTCGGTAACTTGGCTCAGGATTTAGGTTTGGATGTCAAACGATTACAGGCGGGTAAAGCTCGCATTCACACGGGGGACAATACGGAGTATATTCAGCTCAACAAGGAGAAAGGAGTCCTCACCATCAAAGAGAAAATAGATCGCGAGGCTCTCTGTGGCCAGACAACGCCTTGCGCTTTACATTTCCAGGTGGCTTTAGAAAACCCGATCGAAATATTTTCTGTTACTGTGGAAATCACTGATATTAATGATAAYGCTCCTGCGTTCAAAAAAGAAGAGAGGAAATTAGAAATAAGCGAGTCTGCAGTGGTCGGCTCTAAATTCATGTTGGAAAAAGCAATAGATCCGGATATAGGTGAAAATGGTCTTCAGAGCTATACACTGAAGCCTAATAATAATTTTATTCTGAAATTACACAGTCAGTCCGACGGAGGGAAAAAGGCGGAGATGATTTTACAGAAACCTCTCGACAGAGAGAAGCAGGAGAGCCTGTCTTTGTTGTTAACAGCTGTAGATGGAGGAGAGCCGCAGCGCTCAGGAACAATGCAGATTCACATTACAGTGTTAGATATAAACGACAATGCTCCTGTTTTCACACAGCACATATATAAAGCTTTARTCAAAGAGAACTCAGTCAAAGGAACACTTATTACCAAAGTGAGTGCTTCGGATGCAGACAAAGGCTCGAATGGAGAAGTAAGCTACGTCATCGGAAATAGCGTAAAATCAGAAATATTCCACATTAATGAAAAAGGAGAACTCACGCTAAACGGCCCTGTTGATTATGAAAAAGCGAAAAAATATGAAATTGATATTGAAGCGGTGGACCTTGGAGGTTTGTCMGACTCTAGTAAAATAATTATTGATGTAGGCGACATTAATGACAACAGCCCTGTAATTAATATGATTTCAACAACAAATTTTATAGCAGAGGATTCTCAATTGAATACAGTAGTCGCTGTAATGAGTGTAAACGATCCTGATTCTGGTGAAAATGGAAAAGTTAAATGTGTAATAAATAAATATACACCTTTTGCTATAATTTCTACATCCAGTAATCTTTACAGTTTAGTGACAGACAGTGAGTTGGACAGAGAGAGAGCCTCTGAGTATAATATCACAGTGAGCTGCTCTGATGAAGGAGTGCCCTCCCTCTCCAGCAGCGTCACTCTCACCTTACATATCTCTGATGTGAATGACARCCCGCCTGTCTTTGACAGCAGCTCATATGAGGCCTACATTGTAGAAAACAACACACCAGGTCTCTCTATATTCACAGTGAAAGCCACAGATGCTGACTGGAACCAGAATGCTCGTGTTTCTTACATACTGGAGGACTCCTCTGTTCACGGAGTGCCAGTCTCATCATATGTGTCCGTTAGTGCTGATAGTGGAGTCATCCATGCAGTGCGCTCTCTGGACTACGAGCAGATTAAAGATTTTCAGTTTCGAGTCAAAGCTCAGGATGGAGGCTCTCCTCCACTCAGCAGCAACGTGACTGTGAAAATCCTGATCCAGGACCAGAATGATAACCCTCCTCAGGTTCTGTACCCGGTCCAGACCAGTGGCTCTGTGGTGGCTGAGATGGTGCCTCGTTCAGCAGATGTGGGCTATCTGGTGACTAAAGTGGTGGCTGTTGATGTGGACTCTGGACAGAACGCCTGGCTCTCCTATAAACTGCAGAAAGCCACAGACAGGGCGCTGTTTGAAGTGGGCTTACAGAATGGAGAAATCCGAACTATCCGTCAGGTGACTGATAAAGATGCTGTGAAACAAAGACTGACTGTTATAGTGGAGGACAACGGGCAGCCGTCTCGTTCAGCTACAGTCATTGTTAACGTGGCGGTGGCGGACAGCTTCCCGGAAGTGCTTGTGGAATTCACTGACTCTCCACACGACAAGGAGTACAATGACACGCTGACTTTTTACTTAGTGTTGGCTCTGGCTGTGGTGTCCTTCCTCTTCATCACCTGTTTAGTGGTTATTATCTCAGTCAAAATCTACAGATGGAGACAGTCTCGCATCCTGTATCACTCCAACCTCCCTGTCATTCCATATTATCCACCACGTTACTCAGACACTTTGGGGACAGGGACTCTCCAACATGTGTACAATTACGAGGTGTGCAGGACGACTGACTCCAGAAAGAGTGACTGTAAGTTCGGGGGAGCTGCGAGTCAGAATGTGTTGATAATGGATCCCAGTTCTACAGGAACCATGCAGAGGATCCAGAGTGACAASAACCTCCTGGACCAACCTGACTCTCCTGTGGAGGTTAGAATATTATAATATGCATAAAACATTTTTGATAGATAAGCTTCTTTCTTAATTTTTAATCTGKTTTTTTTTGCTTTAAAAGTAAATTATTTAATATAATGAACGAAAATTTGCATAAGTAGCCTGCAATGTGGTTTTCTTATGCTCTCACTCCTTACTCATCACGTATAAAACACTTTGCATAATCACTAAAATTTCAGAAAAAAATTCCACCCTCTTCTGATGAAAGTTATGAGGGTTTTTTTCACCCCAGTCGGAGCAGTAAAAATGACAAAACTATTTAGAAAACTTTGTCTACATTTTATGTGATTTTCAAAATATGGGAATGTGCTACTTGTTCTCGTGTCCTCCGTTTTTAATGTTGGGGAGCTCTAGCATTCAACGAGAGCACCCTCCATGTCAAGTATTGATGAGATGGGGGCGGCACCTGATGCGTAGACGCAGAGGAAGCCTGTCCAATGCGTCCATACATGACGAGTGGAGAGTGACAACGTGTTGGGTTTTCAGCACCATAGACAGTGACATTTTAGCCTACTTTATACTTTAAATGCTGAGTTTTGTGTTCACATATTTCTACTTTGTTCATCCACATTTATCAAATATAATTTTGAATAGCATGCTTTGTATTAAGGTTAAAAAAACTCCATCGTGTTGCTTTTTAAATTCTCTCTTTCTTTAAATAAATGAATGTCGTGCAGTTGTTCTTTTTTAACTCAATGGGCCGCTGTTGCCTTTTGGTTGCACATGTATGTATTAAATTAACAGCAGTGACGCCTCTCCTTCCCTACGTATCAGACAAAAAGGACAGGCTTCTACCGCTTTGTCTTCATTTGTGAAGCTGATTTTCGTCTAAGACAACGCATTTTATGTCAAATTCAAGGATTATTACGTTTTTTTTTTCTTATTGTCGACGGATTCAAAGTTCAAATGGAACATTTTGGAAATCTTTTTAATGTTTTTCACCTAGCGACATTTGTTCATACAATGAGACGGCAAGTACTGCTCTCCGTTTTATTTCTGTGCTTTAGTTCAGTTTGTGGACAGGTGACCTATTCTGTCCCTGAGGAAATGTCGACAGGCTCGTTAGTCGGAAACATAGCGCAGGATTTAGGTCTGGATGTTAAACGGCTAAGGTCAGGGAACGGCCGCGTTTATTCCGGGGACAGCAGAGAATACATCGAGCTGAATGCGGAGAGAGGACTCCTCCTCGTCCGGGAGAGAATAGACAGAGAGGCGCTCTGCGGGGAAACCGCCCCGTGCGCTCTGCATTTTCAGATCGTGCTGGAGAATCCTATGGAATTTTACAGCGTTACTGTTGAAATCACAGACATCAATGACAACGCCCCGACCTTTGAAAAGAGCGAAATTAAATTTACTATTAGCGAGTCTGCTGTTGTCGGGGCAAAATTTGACTTAGAGAGAGCAGTGGATTTGGATGTGGGCACAAACGGTCTCCAAACATATGTTCTTAAACCGAGTGATCATTTCATGATTAAGCTTTATAATCAAGCTGATGGAACAAATAATGTAGAAATGGTTTTACAGAAGCCACTAGACAGAGAGAAAACTGATCTTTTGTCGTTAGTTCTGATGGCTGTAGATGGAGGAGAACAGCAGTTATCTGGAACAATGCAGATTCTTATAACCGTGTTAGATGTGAATGACAATGCCCCTGTTTTTACGCACAAAACATACAAAGGCACGGTGACTGAAAATTCACCTAAAGGCTCCATTGTGACTTCTGTCTCTGCGACAGATTCTGATCATGGTTTAAACAGTAAGATAACATATTCAATTACAAACACTTTGGATGATGTCAGACATATTTTTGAGATAAACGAAGAAAACGGTGAAATTAAACTGATAAATAATTTGGATTATGAAAAGAAAAAACATTTTCACATTAATGTCCGCGCGAGAGATAATGGAGGACTAACAGATTCTTGCAAAGTTATGGTCGATGTTGTGGACATAAATGATAACGAGCCAATAATTAAAATAATGTCAAAATCAGCTGTTATATCAGAAAGTGCTAAACCTGATACAGTTGTGACAATAATTAACATACAAGACCCAGACTCTGGTGAAAATGGCAAAGTTCAGTGTTTTATAAATGATAATATGCCTTTTTCTCTTAAAACAACATCTAATAATTTCTACAGTTTAGTGACAGACAGTGAGTTGGACAGAGAGAGAGCCTCTGAGTATAATATCACAGTGAGCTGCTCTGATGAAGGAGTGCCCTCCCTCTCCAGCAGCGTCACTCTCACCTT